AATCCGGGAGTGCAATCTCCAACTGTCGAAAGTAACAAATTTGATTGCGGGTTATTTGTGAACATAAATATAGGAAGGAGTATTTTGAAGCACCTACTGGCGTTTGATTTTCTCGTGTGTATAACCAATAAAATATTCATCGTTCGTAGTGGAGCCCTCTTCAATAAACAACCGGGTTTTCATTGGCTTTTCCCCGTTTTGCAACATTATACACGTCGCCTCTATCGGATCTATGCGGTCGTTATTTGGGTCTAACAGAATCCTGGCAGGGTTGGACTGACTATTAAAATAAAATAATCCGAAACGTCTGGATCGAGCGCGTTTTTTCCGCCGCGGAAAAGCCATCGGAGGACGTTAAATTTTCACGGAACATGCAAAGCTTTTAGAGTTAATGAAAACGGAGATCTTTAGAGCGCTTTTTTATGCGTCCTGCTAAGAGATCGAATTTTGTTTCGCCAGCAATTGCGACGTTTTCTATCAATTTTCAACGGGAGTTTGACCTAACAAAGCAAACTTCCTCATACGTTGGTATACAAAAAAAAGACGGGTCGAGTTTAATTTCGGCACGCGGAAGGTCGGGATAAGAAAACAAAAACAAAAACTAACAGGAAAACGCAACTAAACTAGTTAATTTCTACGCCGAACCTGCGGAAGGATTTGTTTTGATCCTCTTAGGTGTCGAACCAATACAAATCCGGGATAAAGTTTTTCCTTTTTTCGCGGATAAAGTGCCACTAACGGTTTTGTTATATCGAATACGTTGAATGTCGGTTAATTAAGAGGGCAATAATTAACGTTTGAAGAGTTTCGTCAATCGAAACCGATACTCGATGCTGATGAAGCATCAATTACAGACAAAATTGATTCACCAGATTTACTTTAAAGCAATAACTCTTTGTACTACAATTATAGCGATTGTGTGACATACCAATAATTTCTATATAGAGTTTCTATCTATCAATAACCCGAAACAGGCGAGTAATATCCTGGAACACTGTTGGCAAACTTGCCCGCTGATAAAATCCATTAATCAAGTATTTTGCCGTAGTTTTTTCTTTTCCCTGGTATTAGACAAAAGTCTTGTGTACCAATCTATGATTGATGGTGTATTGCTACAAACCATTAAATCTCTGAACAGGACTAAATTACTCATTTTTGAAAACGCGCCAGTTGCTGTTTTCGCTTAATTATCAGACCTTAATTTCCACCAGATTTAGTTTTATTCAACACCAATAATTTACTCCAAAAACGTGGCATATAAAATCAGACAAATTTAATATCGTGATGCAACTTCAGAGCACATCAGTTTTAATGACATCCAAACTTACGCAACTTCAGAGTTAATTTCCGCGACGATTTTCGCTTTCATTGTATAAACTCTCCGAGCGTATTTCTAAATAAAAATTTACACCTCTTTTGCCGGTAGTTACTGAAGTATTCATAGCTCCGGAATATTCCCGTTCGACTTTTTTTCCAACCGAAACGAAATCACGAAAGTTTTCCGCACGTCTGTAGGTTTACGTAGGCGCTGTTTCGCACGCCAGCTAAACTCCTCATCGGACGAGACCGATTGGGAATTTCGGTAAAAAATTCACGACAGCCTCGCGGAGTTTTCGCCGAGCAAAAGATGTCGAAATTGCGTTAAACAACTCTCATGTAGGTGCAAAGTTGTACAATCAGTCAAATAGATTCGTTTGTTCACGAAGAGAAGTCTTACAATGTTGCCACGGTGTAAATTTTTTACTACCCTCTTGTTACTTCTAAGTAAACACTAATTAAGTACTCATTTTCATGTATATGTTTGGTTGTAATTAGTGAAAAGAGGCGAGCCGTAAATTAAATTATAGATAACGCCAGTGCATTTGCATCCGAATGTGTAACAGATATTCGAGCGGTGGGAAAAGTGGGAGTGAAAATACGAAGGCTGTAACTTCTTGCATTCAAATTACCGAGTTACCGCATAAGCATAAACAGGGAAACTTGCTGAAAATGTACTCGTCGTTTACACAAACCGTACTGCAATAATAATAGTAAAGATTAAGTGTGGCGTTCGTCTGGAAGTTTTAAAGAAGTTATATTTTGCTTGATGAAATCGTTAAAGTTTAAGAGCGTCGGTAATTTACAAGCGAAATTTATCTAGTATAAAATGGGATATTTTTACTTATGTATTGTTGAGATTTTAGTAGAAAATCGACTATAAAAGTTACCTATAATAAAATCGAATTTTATTGGGTTTTCTCACAAACAAAGTTGTCAAAATATTATGCTACAACTTAAACTTTTTAATGCTTTTATACAACTCGTTTTAGTATCTGGTAACTTTTTAGTCGGCGATTTATCCGGGCGAGGTGCATGGGCGATAAAATATAAACTGCAATTACACAGGTACAGGTGAATGACGAATTCCCAATGGCGACATCTCATCAAATTTTCCGGGTTTTTACCGAGCACGGTTTTAAAATGCGGCTGTTTAGCCTCCGCTGAGACGAATTTTCTTATTTTTCCGGAACGGCGACCCAAAGGACAGACCGGAACGTCAACGCCCGGTTTAAACTTTCCAAGTTTAAATGTTAATTGAATTGCTTTATGTCCATATTTTACTTTTACTATTCGATGCTCGAGCGGAGGAAGGAAAGTAATGGATATTACTTTAATATAAAAAAAATCTACATTTTTTGTTCGTTATTTTGTTATATAGTAGGTGAACAAAAAAAAGTAGAACGTATTAGGTAATTCTTTCCTTTACGAGAAATCTTCCAATTTGTCCCGACTTTCCGTTCGCTATCATTGCACAGCTTAAAAGCTTCCAGTTGGACGCTAAACGTACGGGGAACGGTTATAGAAATTCGAATCCGAAAATTGAATATCGACGGAGCAAGCAGAAACGCCGATTGAGCGTGCATATTGTTAGCGCTAAAACGAATATTATGCGCTGCTTACTGAATATTTCCGAATTTAAAATTCAATTTTAGATAAAACTATGGGCGGCATTCTGTTCGGAAAACGGCCTCACCAAACGACGAGCGCAAATTTACATTGCATTTTTCAACAAAAAAATAAACGAACATAAAGAATCCGGTATATTTACGTGGCAAATATTGAACTATCTGTTATTGGATTTTCTGTAGCAGCTAAAATTTATCATTTAAAACATTTCATTAGCATAAAATTCATCAAAATTGAGTTGGAAGATATATCTTTAAATCGCTCTAGCTCCTTAAAGAAACACTTTTAAACCAAAAACCACATAAAACTCTCTTAAATAATTCGCACATTTCGTTCACCAAACCTAATCCCTAATAAACGTAAATAAATTCCGGCTTAAAACCAACGATCGTTCACCGGAATGCCTCATCTCGAGGGCGATTAGGGCTCTAATCAGTCGAACATCGGCGTCGATCGGCGTCCCGCCTCGGACGCTCAATTCGTTCGGCGCTAAACGGGCGCCGCGACGCGCCTAACTCTAATGCGAAATAGTTAGAAGGGAATTTCGCCGGCGCCAATTCGTCGAGAATTGCCCCGGCTCGCGGCTTTCGATATCATGAACTTTGCAGCGGCCAAATCGACGGTGTAATGAGCTCGAAGAATGCCGAAGCGATGGGGGAAGTTTTACGCCGAGCAGGTAAGGAAATACGAATTTTACTAAGTATTGAAAAGCCGACGTCGATCAAAAATCAAACAGGATTTCAAATCGGCTTGTATCGATAAGTTTTTGTGGAGGAGATATTTCACTTTTCTACTCTGTTGGGCTGGATAATCATAGCGGCTTCAAAACTATCATGAGATCTTTCATAACTTCCGAGGGATAATAAAATTGTGTATTGCACCGGCAGGTATAATCGAATCTGCATTCATTCTCGCAACAATTTTACAACTCCCTCGGCAATCTGTTAATTAGCAGTATCTGAAACCTACCAAATAATTCGTCAAATATTTGCTAACTAGCTCGGGAGTCTTATCTCCGGAAACTCCTTTCGTCCGGATGTAGTTTTAATGTTTCAATTAAGTCATATCCGCGAAGTTTCGCGTTTTTGTCTAACTATATGCAGGAGTGCTTAATTAACATCGAGTCATTGATGTACAGAGAAAATACATTTGAACAGAACTAATTGTTATTTCATGTTCATATAGATTGTTATAAATACACGCGCTTTCTGTGGTATAAAATTTAATAAACATATTTCACGTATTAATTTAATTAAATATTACGCTGGTGTTAATTATAAAATACATAAATGTAAATTTGACTAATAGGAAATGCAAATTACAGAATTAAACAGCAATGCAATACTATTGTTTGTTGCATTCAAAAGAAATTAGCAGGTTTCCGGATCCAAAAACCGTTTCGGCATTTTCCTCCTTTTACACAAAACGTGTAATCAAACTAAAATTTCCCTTTGCGCTTCCAGCACGCAGCTTGCACAACAAATATTTTTAATTTAAGTTTAAAAACTTTGTTGCCGCACTCTAATAATCGCAAATTAATTTTTCCACGCTTGCCGCCGTCGGATTCAAAAGGTTCAAAAAAAAAAAAACGGAAAAGCGCCGGAAACTCCGAATTTCTACCGTATGAAAATAAAAACCGAGTTGAACAAAACGTACCTATTGAAGTTTATTTGTTTAATTCGACCGGCTAATAAAAGATATGTTTAGTAGAGAAGTTTATTCGACTCGAGTTTTAGTTAAACTTTTCTTGGTATTTAGTTGATAATAAAATCGTGGAATTATGCGTTATTTATGTGTGTAAATCTCTACAATTTCATGCATTTGCAACGAGATGACCAGCCCGAAAATAGCTTCACACTTTCAAAACTTAAATAATAAATAAAGCCTCGATACCAAAGGGGCAAACTAAATTAAAATAGTTCCGGGAATCCCGTGCATAACGCCGAAATTCCGCACCGGTGCGATCCGCGGCGTCGCGACGCCGGACTCGCAGGACGACTCGCAGCTTTCGGAAGCTTTCGAAAGCTTTTTCTCCCTGTTCTCTGCAGTGTTTCGTCGATCGCGGTGGTGGAAACGCGCGCGGAGCCAACGCGGGGATTCACCGGATCGAGGACGCGATATTCGAGTGTTCCCGGTTCATTCGAAGCGAATTTATTGTGCCGGTTGGATTGTATATATTTTTTTTGTAGTGAGTTTTACGTGGTTTAGTTACATCTAGAGATTTTTTTATTAATATGGTAGGTGGAATAGTTAATAATACTGTATTGAACAATTTAATAACGTTGGAATATGAATGAACCGGCGAAATTGTAACAATCATTAGGCTTGTTACATATTCATTTACTCATTCGGTTTTGGAGCCGAGTAAAAGGGCTCGATCCTTCTCCAGTTCCCGAATTATATTTCCATTGTGCCCAACTCCATATTGACATAGGGAAAATTTATTATAGTTTTTTAAGGCGTTTTCATGCAAAATCCCCATATTCTTTGAAAAATAGATTCATATATCAAAAACCGAACGAAAATATTTCAAATATTTTTACAATCATTCCTTAATTAAAATAAATTTTAAACATCAAAAGAATAATCCAAACTGCAAATATAAATTCCATCCACATACCTTCCCTTTTTTTTCAACTCATATTCAATCTAAATTCTTCCACACAGTATCTATTTACAATTATTGTTTGGTGCATTTTTCAATCGCATTGCATCGAGCGAAAACGAAATATCCTAATCCTTCATTCGTGTTGGAACTCTCGAACTGGAAGCAACTTAATTATGTTGCAAATTGATGGAGGCGCCCGAGGAGAGAGTTGGAAAAAAATGAAAAATTAAGTGCTCGTTGAAACTTGAAAGCAAAGTACGAAAAAGATCAGCGGGCTGATTAGATACCCCGGCGTTGTCGGGAGATTTCCGGCGTTAGTCTTATCTGGTATGGCGATTAAAAAAAAAGGCTTAAAGTATTTTTTGCCTCGATTCATTTGCTGTAAAGATAATTAATAAATTATTACCGGGAGAAGGAGATAAGGAATATTTTACATAAAATTTTTGTAGGTTAATGTTGGGAGCAGGTATTGTAAAAGGATTGGGAGGCTTCAAGAAGGGTCGCGTAAAAGGAAAATGGAAAAATATTTCACTCAAATCCGATTTCAAAATTATTTGAATTTAGTTCTAAACAATTCAATCAAAGCCTCATTCAAATTCATGCAAATATGGACCAAATTAATCGATTAGAGGTACTTAAAGCATGTGCAATTTTGTTATTTTTTGAAATATACAATGAGAATAGAGCGGATTTGTAGAGGTGAAGAGCCTAATATACAATTTGAAGAGCCTGTACAAATTACAATAATACCAAAGAGATTATGGCATAAATTTATATTTCGAATGATTCTGCAAACATTCTGAACAAATTCTTTAACAGTGTAATTAAATTTTCTCGTTGAAGTATTTTAAACAAAATATTTGAAAGGAAAAGTAAGAATTCCGAAAATATTTGTTTTCTTTCAAACTTTTGCTTTTTCTTTAGGCAACGCATGTGTTTATTTAGGACATATTTCATTTATAAGAAAAGAAAATTAATTAATTATTCACATCGCGAAGCACTTTATACACGTCCATACGCCGAAACCTTTCGAAAAAGTAAGCAGAACTTTAATATTAAAAAGGAACAACTCGTTTCATTTCTTCTTTGACTATACGCGAAATTTAACGGCGTTTTACGGGGATATATTTAAAACCTTGGCGAAATTTCCACCGGATAGGCGGCTTCATATTTTATGAAACGGAGCTTTATGAATAAATAAAATCGGTTTTAAGGCAGGCTGGAAATAACGTCGCCTTTTGTTCCCGCTCATTTCCGTATATTATCCGCACTAAGAAAACTAGAACAGCAATGATCCACGCCGACTGGGAAATCATAGAAATGCACTTGCTTAATTTCCCTTCGGTTGTTCCGAAAGCTCCTCTAAAGCCAGCCTCCTTAAGCAGTGTAATTTATTATCGGAGGAATGCCTCATCATAAACAATATTACTCTCTACGAATTCGACGGGAATATTTTAGCATAATGTAAGAATTTGCGAATGCTATCGATGTAAACCATCACCAACCCGTTTCCTTTCTCTCGTACCTTCGGAGTAACGCACAAAAGAAAACTGAGAAAACGGATCACAAAGAACGGGCGACGCTCACAAAAGCAACAGACGCGAAACTTTCAAAGCTTCGGGCGTCGCCAGTGATAACCTAATGAGGGACTTATTTTCCAAATTGAACGATGGGCGCTCTTCACGTTATTAAAATCTCGGCGAGAGATCGCTCACAGAACACCCAGCGAATTTAATCACATAAGATACTTCTGAATATACACAATCGTTGTATTCACTAGAGATGCTAGAAGATTAGCTGTATCTTATTGTTTGCTAACTTTTGTGGTTTTATGAGCATTATAAATTCCACGATGATGGTGTTTAATTTTTCGATAAAATAATCCTTTTTGGATCCTGCTACCTCGTTTCGATTTCCTGTTAGCCGATTCAATGGATGATCAATCTCAATATATTGCGAAATGTTTCTACCGATTTCCGTTTCCAGTCGTGTCACTGTCTGTCGATTGAAAAATGGAAATGTTATTTTTCATTTCCAATAATATCGCCTTTGCTATAATATTTCTGATGTCCGGATTTTCGAACAAATGGTGTAATTTTTCGAGAGGAAAACAAATCCGTAATTTTAGTACTGTGGTCAAACACAGAGTGGAGAATTTTGCGAACTCGGCATAATATTTATCGTAAATACGCTGTAATATTATTTATTCAACAGGACGCAAACATTCCAAGAAGGAATATTTATTGTAGTTTTCACCAGATAAATTCGATAGTACACACAAGCCAGTATTTACAAAAGAGAACAACATTATTTACCCCTTAAAAATAAACATTTTCTCGATTTTCTTTCCGCAAATTTGTTGAATCATAATTAATTTTTCTTCTGTTAATTATCCCGCCATCCAATCCAATTGGTATTATATCAACGAGGATACCGTTGCAAGGATAAATAGAGAAAGTATTTATTTAGAAGCTAGGAGTGTTTTTTCAGTCAACAACTTTCCAGGAAATGAACTAAACGAATGGACGGTTGAACAAACGAAGGTCGATATGTAGCAAATCTCTTGCAAAAAGTTAATGATCCTTCTTTTTTTTTTCGGAGGCTTTTCCGGGATTAAGTTTTCCGGGACGCGGTATTACAATAATTGATTGTTCGGAACCGGCTAGTGAACTGATGGAAATAACGAACCGTTAATTGCTGTTTATTTCCATGAACATTCTATATAGGTAAACGGGAGATTTAATTTTTGGAATTTATACTAGATAAAACGTATAAAATGCCTCGAGTTGTTTTTTAGATTTTATAAGATCAAAACAATCACAATACAACAAATATTTCTTTGATATTCTCTTTTAACTCTCTTCGACTTTGAAAGAACTATACCCTAAGGGATTTCTTTGAATTAACTGGATGTAACGTTTGAGAAACTTTTTTTCAGAAGATTCGAGTAATGTTTCACAAAAAACGGTTACCCCAAATAAAATAAAATTATATTTGTGCTTTTCGAAAAAATATTTTGATCGCGAAAAAAAATCACAACAAAAAATCTACTTTGCGCCCTCAAAACAAATTTCCCTCTATACCATCATTTCAAAAAAAAAACCAAACATCATTAAACCCTTTAAAGTTCAATCATTTCGTTAATCAAAATAACTCTACATAATAATGCGATTGCATAACCGAACAAATTCGGTACATGAACGTGTAACTTTACCGATGTGGAATCCATCAAAAGCGGCTGCAATTTCGAATGCACTTCGAAATTTGCATATAACGAAAAAAAAAGCGCTTTTTATTCGAGCGATATTCTCCGCAATGCGCCGCTCGCATTTTAATTAGCCAATTACAGGAATTAAATCTTCGAAATACATCGATTGACTTGCTGGTGGAATGCGATAAATCTAGCAAGAAAAGTAAAATCACCGGCGACAAGAATTAATGGCTGGATAATTTATTTGGCAGGAGGCCGTAGGAGTCGGCATGAATAAGGAAAACGAAGAAGTGGGTACTTTACGAAAAAAAACTATCGATGCCAAATTGAGCCTTTTTTTAGTTTTGTCAACGTTTTTTCGCTGTTTAACGCCGCACGATTCCATTTATCACGCTTATTGTTCTGAAAGTGACTTCGCTTCAGCATTCTTTTCAATTCGATCGGAATAAAACTGAAAATAAAGCGTTTTATGTCAGAGCAGATTTCCCAGGCAGTTATACAAATAGTTCGATTTAGAAACATCCGTGCAAACAAATAAAATGGTGTTCATATACTATTATAGATACAGAAAAAAAGAGATCTTTTATAATACTATACTTTGTCCTATAAATCTAGGGAACTTGTAGTAGGTATTAAGAAGTAGAAAATTAAGAAGAAGAAGAAATGAAAAAGTATAGAGCAATTATTTTTACGATAGGCTCTTATAGATGTAATTTTACCACTTTGTTCTCTATGTTGGGCTTGCGAATTTCGCATTTCATGCTTTTAGCAAAGGATTTTTTTTGAGCAAGTTTTTACAACGGAGTTTTTAACAGAAGACAGCGAAGTTGAGGAGTTGAAATGGAGCGCGTATCGGGCACAAGCGTCGCTTTTAAATTATTCCTAGTACAGAGTTGTAAAGACTTGCGAAAGAAGAAGAATAATAAGTCGTTTTGTATCGCCTTATCCGTTCCCGAAGACTGCATTGGGAATGTTTACAACCGAATTTGCGTTAGACAAACGCCGTAAAGTTTCGCAATTTTATTTGCGCGTTGATAAATCTCCCCGACGGACTTTGCATTGCTAATGCTCCTCTCTCGCCCATCCTGGACGACAAACCCTTCGCTCGCCGATGATGTATAAATTTCATTTTTCTCTCTATTTTTTCTCGAATTACACCCACACCCCCTTTCGCGAGAATCTTGAGGATAGGGAATAAAATCTACAGCGTGGCAACACTGCAGTCTTGTAGCTTCTACTGTCTTCACTAGGTTGTGCTAATATTTTTAATAATATTGAATTGTGTGTAGAGATTTAAGGCAAATTTTTGTATAAAAGGGAAAGAGAGTTCGTTGTTGTTGTTGAAGCATCCGAAGAGTTCACCCCAATTTGACGAACGCACAGAACACAAAAAAAATAAGAATAGCTGTCACGTACAA